TAATTTCCAAAATAATACAATATTTTTACGCATATCTTGGTTAGTAAGCGCACGCCAATAAAACAGTCAAGAAGCGTTTTTAGTTCCGACTGTACGCTTGACGTCGAGTGCACATTGTACAATGACAATGCATGATTACTTAAATGTTTTTTTGCGCCCATAACACGGCTACCCTACGGAAGCGGGGGGAGGGAGGTGGTGAATGCTTATAACATACCATGCAGCCGGCTGCGTGGTTATGTGGGACTGGTACTGTGTGCCTACTCACTAAACACCACCTGTGGGACTGGCTTTGGCCTGTATGGCCTTTCTGCCGAATCGGAAGCGGCCCCCTTTAGGGAAAAGGGGGCGCAGAGATTACTTAAATGCCCCAATTTTTAATCTAATATGGCGGACATTACAAAATGGCGATTTATCATTTCCACTGTAAACTCTATGATATGGATATCAAATGAAAGGGCTTGATAAGCGAAACATAATAAACAAAGTGACGTTATTCTGAATCCAATATGGCGGATTTCACAAAATGACCATTTATAATTTCCATAGTAACTCCTATGATATGGGTATCAAATGAAAGGGCTTGATAAACGAAACACAATAATTAGTAATGTAACGTCATTCTAAATCCAATATGGCGGTGCTCTAATATAACAATTCAATATTAATAAGACATATATAGCTGATGTGATAATGGAGCTGGAATGGGGCCATGGCTGAAAAAGGCAGAAAACAAAATGGCCGCCATACCAATTCTAAAGAGTTATAGCTCGGCAAAGGTCAGGAATAGTTTGGAAGTGCTGGCAATAAAAAAAAACACGATGGTGGATCTAAGTTGGCGATCAAAATCTTAATTGCTTCAATCCACCTTTAATTTTGTTATTCCGGGGTTTTTGGAGTCCCCGATTACGACTTTGGGGTCGAATTGTTTGGGTCAAATGCAACTGATTTTAAAAAGTATACCTAGTAAAGTGACGTCATTGTAAATCCAATATGGCGGACACCAAGATGGCAAACTACTTATTTTTTATACACTCCCATAATATGGGTATTATATGAAAGGGTTTGCTGGAAAAAATACAAAAAATAAAATGACGTCACTTAAAATCCGATATGGTGGACTACCAAAGATGGCGGACAACGTTTTTAATCACTTTCATGATATGGACATAAGTAGGTAATTCTATGAAAAAATAATGTTTTTATAAAACAAATAAATCTCGCGACAAGCTTTTATAATATCATATAAATTGTATAATGTAATGAAATGTTTCATTTAATTTAAAGTTTATTTTCTTCTTTTTAGAGCATTTAAATAAAAGCTTGATTTTAAAATGTTTTTTTACTATTCATTTTTTACATATGCATACGTCTTAATATATTAGACAAGAAGGGAATGGAATGACTGGCTGGATATTTTTTTTGTAACTGTGAATTTAGGTATAAAATTTGCAAATGGAACAATCCCAAAAGGCGTTTTATAATTTTTAGAACTTATGCTTAAGGGTTCTTGTTTGCAATTCAAAAAATTCATGGTAATTTAATTAAAAACTTAAACTTGAAATGACTGAATTAGAGATTAAAGTATCCCAACCTCATAGCAAAAAGTTTTCATAGATATTCACTTATAGCGATATCATTTGTGCTCCAAATAAGAAATTGATTTTCAAAAACAGGCAGTCATGTTCGTATCTTAACGTTGTGTACTATATTTCTACACTAGTGATTTATCTAGATTCTAGATTCTAGAACATAGGCCATGTTGCTAAATTTATAAGTAATTTTAGCAATTCGCCTGTCAACAACATATTAGTGTCTTTAACGACTGGACGTGGATTTCCTGTACAACTGTAGTTTAAATTTAAATGTTATTTATATAACTAGATATGGTTTTAGATAGTAATAAGATCACCTAAAGGGCATTTACGCTGCAGTTATAATTATAAAATATTTTTACATAGAAGCTAGGATGATAAACGAACTCACACTCCACCTGATAGTTAATGGATGCTGGGGCTCGTAGACATCTACATCTACATCTATCATCAATAATAATCAAAATATAGATACGTTGTCACCTTTAATGCCTAGTTACCAGTAAAAAGGGGTCTCCTTGTAAAAAGGGTCTATTTCACTCTTTTACTATAACGACAAAGTAAGTCATTTTTTTATAGAATAAGGGTGAAAAACTAGTACACAGTCCACTTGATGGTAAGTGGATGCTGTGGCACATAACATAACTGCAGCATGGGTTTACCACGAAAATTGGTTCGAATGTGCGGTGTAAACAACAAAGGAGACGAAGAAAGTTGAAGTAACAGATGGTAATGGGTTTTGTGGAATTAGTAGAACTCCATTGTGATAGTATAAGAGAATGTATTATATTATCTCTCACCCTAGTTGCATAAAAATAGAATTAGTGTAATGTTAGAGAAATGCTTTAACGTGGTCGAGTCACACATATCAACGGGAGCTTTTTGTCACTTTTATATTACCAAAAATGTACGCCTTGTACACTATATTCTCCCAACAAGGCCGGCGTATTTTTCAGAGCAGAACTGATGTAAACGCAATCGCAAAAAAAAATACTGCTTCAAATCATAGTCATTACTAAGACTTTATTAAAATCTACAACTTCTTAAACAATAAGACATGCAAATTGTATTTTTTTAAATATAAATACATAAACAGTTCGTTTCTGATGAATAGCTTGGTGTCTTGATAGACGACCACGGCCGTAGTTAAAATTCATTTTAAGTGATAATCTACACTTGTTTTTTTTTTTACTGTTATAAGCCAGTGCTTTACTACTATTCCAACTGATGGTAAGTGCTTTTGATTTCAAAAACATAATTTTTATGCAGGAAGGGATTAAACAATTAGATTTTTTTAAATGCCTTTTCTTTTTCACTATATGAGTATGTAACTCTACTAGAGCATTTCAATGGCTTTTGAACAATCTTTCATATTCTTATCAAAGTGTTTGGAACCTTATGTATAGAGAACTAAGAGCTTAGTAAAATGTTACATGTGAATTTGTTGGTAATGGAGGGGCCCTATATTTATAAGCGTAGGGCAAGAGGTTTGGCGATGTAAGCTAGAAGTATTTCGAGTGTGTGATACTGTCCTTTAGACTTCAAAACATGTTGGTAAGTTTCTTCAACGTATTTAAAAAACAACCTAAAATTAATAAATAAAATAGGATAAATTTTGATTAATATCCACAAACAATATATTATTATTTTTTACTTGTATTTGCTTCTTTTATATACTTTCATCATAGTACATAGCAATACATGAACATGATTTTGTAAAGTTTTTAATCGTTTTTATAAAGTAATATTATTGATTCGGATACACTAAAAGTATTCAAAGTAACTAACGTTATGAACCTAGCGATCATATTACCTTTTGTAAATTTTAATATCTAGCAGTAAAATATGTTCTTTAAATTAAAAGCTTTTGTTAACAATATGAGTTAGCATATTCTGCGGTTAGTTTTCAATGTGGGTTACATTAATTCGACGGTTTTGTATGTAATAATTACATAACTTTGGAGCTTTAAGTTTCATTTAGTGTTCTGGCTTTAAAGGAATCCTTTTGTAAATTTTAATATCTAACAGTAAAAGATGTTCTTTAAATTAAAAGCTCTTGTTAACAATATGAGTTAGCATATTCTGCGGTTAATTTTTAATTTGGGCAACATTAATTCGACGGTTTCGTATGTAATAATTACATAACTTTGGAGCTTTAGGTTTCATCTAGTGCTCTAGTTTCAAATTCAAGTCGGAATATTGTGTATAATGTATTTGTGTAAAACTTGTATAAACCTTGTACAATATCCTTGTAATGATGTGCCCTCACTGTTGTTTATGTTTAAATATAATGTTAAATATAAATACAGTCAGTACAGCAGTCTTATGTGGCTCTACCACGTAAGAATTACCTTCATGTTTGTAAAACATTTATGGCTCTATTATTTTTGTCTTTTAAGGAAGGCAGATAGCCGTATTTTTTTTTTAATAATAAAGATATAGGTGTATAATTAGTAAGTTTAGAAAATTAGATAAATAAAACTCTGATATTGTTATACCACAATAAATATTTTGCTGTAATTTTAATTTTCCTTTCAGATTTTCAATTATCTTATTGTGATCTTATCTCCTTTATTACAAGAAATGGGCCTCTCTTGTTGTAGGGAAGATTTGCCTTAATCGTCACACTTGTGAAAGGTAGGTTGGCTATCGCTGCAGACGTCTCGCACCGTTGACGCTGCTGCTCATTGCCAGTCAGGATATTTGGCGTCTGGCATAGGCATTTTACGTGGTACAGCCATGCTGCAGCTATATTAGTAGTATAGTTGTAGAACGAATGGGTCGGCTCGACCGGGGAAGGACCACGCTCTCACAGAATACCAGCGTAAAATGGCAGTTTGACACTGCTGTGTTTTGTATTCTTTATTGAAGATAAATGTAGATGTCTATGGCTCACAGCAACCACTTACCATCACGTGGACTGTGTGCTCGTTTGTCACCCTATCCTATAAAAAAAAAACAAACTGATTATACAGCATTATTTTTCTAAGAGTAACCAAATTTTAAAAATGATAATCAGTTAAAATAATGCACTACCACGCATTTTGAATTTAAAAGATAAAAAGAACAGAATGTTTGAGATTTTTAAATTAATTTTTTTTCACCATTTGCCAATATTACTTATTTTGAACTTTCTCGGCAAATTTGGCCGGTTATTGTAAAATAACCCTGTATATATATCGGAGGCCGTAGTATTTTCCTGGCATATCCCATAGTAGTCTCTTACGACACCCACGTGATGAAATTGGGTGATGGATTCTCTTACACTGCAATCACACATCACCATATTATTTTAATTTTGAATGTTCATCGCGATATGGAGAACGCTGGCTGTGTTTTCTCGCTGATTTTTTTTACTTGTTTTTCATAGGATATTTTATTTTATGACAATAGGTTTTTGTGCTGTTGGCTTGCGTTAGCAGTGCGCTTGCAGCGCCTATAGAGTACAATGCGGTCTACGCGCATGCGCCTATAGCGTTGCACGCCATCCACGCACCGGTCGCCGTCGCCGAGCCGGTTGTAAGTACTAAGTAACCATTCTACTTCATTAACTTGTCGTTACCTGAGTATAAAATATGAATTTTATTCATTATGCTCCATCTGTTACAAACTTAAAAATTCAGTATCTATCACTACATTTGCTTGATTATTTGTCTCTCTCACATTATGTCAAATTCCAAATTATATAAGTAACTAGCTGAAATGTGGAAATATCGTTTTAAATTTGGAAGAGTTATATTGTAAATTAGGAATAATAATACATTAATTGAAGCTGAATGATGTATAAGTTTCAAATAAATTTGTTGGTGCGATACCCGCGCCACCTATTGTAAGTTAATTGTACTATGCCTATAACCTTCGCACAAGTGGAAGTAATAAGTTGAAAAATTTTTAGCGCAAAATGAACGGTATGGCGGCGCATAAAATACGAACAAACAAAAATTATTTTTTATATATTAGATATACATATACGTTATGAGCATTCTTAAAACTTATATCAGAGGCTAGAACTCTTATTTTTATCACAAACACAATATACTATTTTTTTAAAGATAAAAGCGAGTCATTAACTTGGAATTAGATATAGGTGTACGTATTACGTAATATATTTTAGTAACAAAATATTGGTATGTTACATAAGGCTCGATTTTGAATCATTCAATTAACACATCAGTTCATGGGATGCAACGACTATTTATTAATAACACAAAAATGAATGATTTTAATAGCTTTTTATTAGTTCAATGTCGGTTACAGGCCAAAAAGCATTGTGGTTATTTAAGTTCGCGTTTTGCACAACATTTTTGCTCAAGAAAATTTGGCAATGTAAAGAGAGCTCTACACATTGAAAAAAGTCATAACCAAAATTCGCCCTGCAGCGGGGCACAGGTTTCTTACATAAAGTCATAGCCAAAATTCGTCCCACAGGGCACAGGTTTATTACGAAAAGTGTTATCGGGAAGTTAGTCCATCGTGCTGCACCAGTGACTGTTGTTCACCAGTGTTCCTATGTTCTTGAAATATTTTTCTAACATGCAGAATCCCTTTACCGTCGAGCGAGTGTTAGCTCAGGAGTTAAGCACTCGCCATAATATTAGAGAAATCCGAGTATCAACTGTGATACTAACGTAATTTTACAATTTTCACAGTCTTACCCAAAATACGCTTTCAACTATGGTGTTAAAGATCCACACACTGGCGACGTTAAATCGCAGCAAGAGGAGAGGGACGGCGATGTAGTCAAAGGTAAAAAAAAAAGTTTTTTTTTAATGTATTCAGAGACATTAACCTGAAAGTTATAAGTATATATATTAAGCTGAAGTGATAATGGGCCAGTCATATAGCTCGAAGAACCAACAACCGATGAGGAAGAAAGTTATCGCGTCTCGTACCTGTAAGTGAAGTGAAGGTTTCCAATGGATGGAGAACACCTAAGTGACACAAGTGACATACACATAAAGATGCTTATGTTCAGCAGTGGACTTGTGATGTGTGGTATTGGATTGATGATGGACTTAATGAACAGAAAAGATAAAGTTCTTCATATGTAAGGAAAGATGTAATGCTAAAACAGAATAATCGTTTTAATTTACAGGTAGTTACTCATTAGTGGAACCAGACGGTACGACACGCACTGTCCATTACTCAGCGGATGACCACAATGGCTTTAATGCAGTTGTACAGAAGTCCGGGCACGCCGTACATCCGGTATGTTTATATTAACTTATAGATTTAAATTTACACAGACGAGGGCGACAAAGCATTTGAAAAAAAAAGTTTTCGTAGGGATGAATCTATCTCTATCTCTCAAGTTGGACCAAACTGTACAAAATGTGCAAAATTTCCTTGAAATCAGTTCAGTAGTGTAGGAGTTCATCGCGGACAAACAACGTGACACGTAATTATATCTTTATATATAAAAATTACGTGTCACGTTGTATGTGCGCGATGGACACCTAAACTACTGAACTAATTTCAATGAAAGAGGATAGTTTTTGTCCCGTTAAGTGAATATTGTTTTTTTGCGAATTTAATGTTTTTTTATTAGACAAAGAGTCGTCGGAAAGATATATATATATATATATATATATATATATATATATATATATTATGTAAAATTTCACGAAAGAAAAAAAAGAGTAAAATTTAATTAATTTTACTTCACGTTTTGAGTTCTATTTATTAAGTATAAAATATAAAGTACACCAAACACTTATTTTAAAACACATCACTCATAGCTAGAACGCGAGGTTATTGCTGTGGGCTACCATTACTAAGTTAAGTACATAGTTTTCAAACTTATTTATTTTGCTGACACATCAAGATTGGATGTTGGCTCAGCCGTAGTTTGAGACGGATCAGCACAGAACTTTCGTTAGTAGTGCAAGGTGAGACGTATTGTTTTCACTTCGGAATTGTTATTCAAAAATACAAAAAAATACATTGATTATGAGCTGTAGTAATCATAGTTAGAATACAAGGTAATAGTCATGAATTTATTGTATATCCGGTCGTGTCGGATTGCCGTAACATCGGACTATGAGAGTGAGAGTGAGGGAAAGTGCCTGTGCTTGTGCATTCACTCGGACACTATAATCCTGTCCTGCGCAAATAGCTAGCCTCCATTGAGATTAGCCGCTGTGATAAAAATCGGTCTGGACGATATAATTATTAAAATTTAGGTTGCATTTTCATTCAGCTAGAGCTTTACAATAACAAACTTATTGCTAGCGTGCATTCACGGCTGAACTTAGTCCGTAATTCGAATCCATCCAAGGTTCGCGATGATCGTGGTTGTAGTGTATGGACTGTGGAATGACATTTTGCACTAAGCGAGCCTTTCTGTACCTATTTTGTGACGCGGTCACTGGTCATTGCTAAATCAAGTCTTTAATATCAAGTCACAATTAATGCGGTTAATCGAATTTCAAGTATCTGTTTTTTAAACGAGTCATGAAGTCGTTTCAAGTTTACGGATGACTTGTTGGAAGGCCAAATATTACACAAACTTGATTTCTCTGCCATTGCAAAGCGACGTGCCGACTCGCGATTGCGAAAGACATGGTGCGTAGGCCTACAGGAAATGTACAGCAGAAGAATCTTGGTCAACATTGCTTTAGCGAAATTTCCTCGAAATTTTTTGTAGACAGCTTTTGAAAAATAATAAGAAATCTTTTAATATATACTAAATGGAATTTTTATGCCTTGTGCCAACAGGTGTTGCAACGCAGTGGAAATGTTGGCAATTAGAAATAAGATAAAATTGGACGTGAGAAAATCCGTAAAATTTGTTTTTGATCCACACGAAATTGAACCTCGTCTAATTTGAAACTAATACCGGCGTAATGTTAAAAAGTAACATAATATTGATATTATGTATGTATATCAACGGCTATTTTCTATTTCCACAAGTATAACTTAGTACACGGAGGTATTTAGGAAGATAAGTACCTAGTAAGGTTATCAGAATGTGGAATTACATTCTTAAGAAATACTAAAAATATTTAGAAAAGCTTAGTTTTTAACTTATGTAATAAAGATGCAGAGCAATGTGAAAAATACTGGCTAGTGACAAAGTACATAACGAGTATGTCAAAAAAAATAATAAAAAATATTTTTTATTTGAAAATCATCCGCACGTTGTGTTTATTATTTTTTCATTAATTAATTTGGCTTGGATTCTAATACAGGATTATTAATCGCTAAGTTGTAAGTTCTTATAAAACCACTAGCTTTTACCAGTGTCTCTGCTTATGTTTAATTATAACCACATATTTTTTTATTACTGAAACTGTTCACCTATGGATTAAAGAAACTGTAATTTTTTGCAAAAATATTGCCTATGTCCTATTCTGACTTGTAATTTATGTTATTGCCAGTTTTATGTTTCATCACAATCCATTGAGTAGTTTTTGAATGATTAAGCCATAAACAACAAACTTTCGGATTTATAATATTAGTAGGATTACAATAGCATAGTATGGTATTAGTAAACAATAAGACAGTGACAACAGTAAAACTTTTTTGGTTTTCACATTAGCATAGTTACTTAAGATTTATTATGAGGTTGTGTTCTGTGTTATGAGGTTAGTGCGTTATTAGCGATGGAGAAGTCGATTGTATATTACGCTACCCATTCGATTTTAAAAATATGGACATACATAATTTTTCTTTTAGAAGAATTCTATAAAGCAGGGGTTCCTAAACTTTAAAGGTAATGGAACACTCACCAAATCTCTTTTATTTTATGGAACCCTACATCAAATGATCACAAATCAAAGAGAGTGACATTTAAATAAGAACATATACTTTTGTATTAGAAATATTTTAGAAATGAAAATTTTATCTAAATCTGAAGTGAAATATTTTAAAAGTAAAGTTACCAATTACTGCTCAGTATAGTGCCGAATGCTTGCTATCTACCTACGTAATTTACGTACGTGCCATAAGAGTAATGGGTACTTCTCATCATATATTTTGGATTATTCCAAAATAATATTTATACTTAACTATGGAAACAATTTAAAAAACAAAAAAAGAAAATAATGATTTCGTGGAATCGTGTTGACTTCTCGACGGAACCCTTAGGTTCTGCGGAGCGCACTTTAGAATCTCTGCTATAAAGCAATACTGCGGGCTTTAATTAACCGCAATAGCAAACTTATGTTAATAAGAAACCGTTTATTATTGCCGTTTGACTGCGGTATAAATAAACTATCGTCCATATTTGTCTCGTGGGTGTCGTAAAAATCGATCTCCTTTTTTGGCTTGGAGTCCGTTTGGGTTGTCACCATCCTCTTACATATTTCCACTGTCAAGCGGAAGAATAGTAATACCACTATCGTATTCCGGTTTGAACGGTGAGAGAATGGTTAACTATCAGCTCGTTTGCCACTCTAATAGATAATGTTACTGCTTATAAGCTTTCCACCATACCGAGTAGAGTAGTAGGGCTTCTCTTATATCGGGGAGAATTAAGAGCGGGCAATTTTGAGTGGCCACGTCAATCGTCGATAATTTGCTGTTTTAAAATGTGGTAGAGCTATGCTGCAGTTATATTATGGTTGTAGCACGAATGGGTCGGCTCGACCGGGGAGCGACCAGCTTTATGCTGCTGTGTTTCGTATGGTGAGTGTAGAGAACCGGAGTCTCTTTTTGCTGGAAACGAGGATACTTATAACATCTTAGTCCGCAGGGGTGGCAACGCATTTGCATTTTGATTCTTAATCGAGGATAGATCTAGATATACAGCCCATAGACATGGGCCACAGCACCTACTAACCATCAGGTGGACTGTGTGCTCGTTTTTCTATTAAAAAATTAATTGATGAATTAATTACATTATATTCTCATACAAATTCTTTAGCAATGTTTGTTTTGACAAATCCTGCAAAGTATTGCAATTGACTAGAGTGGCAAATACCCAATTACATGATGTGAGTCGTAGCTGAGAGCCGATAAGTGGACGCGTAAGATAATCCACTACTGCTGGCTGTGGTAAAAGGCGACAGAAGAACACTGAAGTAGGAGATGGGCAAAAACATCTTCTTGATAACAACTCAAAAAAAAAAACTGCGATTGCCAACGCCAAATATCGCCTCTATTGTTGCCACAACTCACTTATAAGAATTGTGATATGTGTAGAGTTTTAAGGAATAATTCCGAAATGCCATATCTGAATTATTTTTCAACGTGCGCATCATTTAATATTACAAGTGAATGCACACGGTGCATTGATTAGGTATATTAAATAAATACGCACATTAACAAGAAACATTATTATTATTATATGTATATATGTATATGGAGTATACAACCAATGACATATGGATCTGAGACGTGGTCCTACACTGCTGGCCGTATAAGAAAGCTCAAGGTCGCTCAGCGAGAGGAGAGGGCTGTGCTCGGGGTTTCTCTACGTGATAGACTTAGAAATGAGGATATCCACAGTATAACCGATATTACCCAACGGATTAGTAAGCTGATGCGGCAATGGACCGACCATATAGCTCAAAAAATCGACAATTGATGATGAAGAAAGGTTCTCGAGTGGTAAACTTGTACCGGTAAGCGGAGTGTAAAGCGGCCCCCCACTAGATGAAGTGACGACCTGGTAATTTATGCAGGAAGTTGATGGGTGCAGGTGGCTCAGAACTGTGTTTTGTGGCATTTCTTGGGAGAGGCATATTATGTTCAGCAGTAGACTTGTGAAAGGCTGTAATGATGATATATATTTGTTACTGGTTTCGACTCGGATTTGTATCTATGAACTCTTCAATAAAACGTACGTGTGTTTATAAATACATAGAATATATTATCGCGTGTTTATCGACTGCATCACTGCAACTAAATTTCTTTCTTTTTTCTTTTATAAAAATTATGCATATTATACAAGTATGTTTTCTTTGACTAACAGTTTGTTAATTTTCCAGCAAGTGGCAATCGCACCTGTGGCTCACTATGCCCCTGTAGACCACTACGCCGCTGTTCATGGTATTGGTATATCCCCATATTCGTTACATTAATAAGCTTCTCTACTTTATAAAATTTACTTTTACTGTATACTTGAAGTCAAAGTATCTGCTAAAGTTTTAACGGATTTTTAATGACAAACTACTGTTTAAGTTTCGTTCTTTAAGTAATTTTCTATGTCAACATTCTATTGTTTGTTAAAAGTAAGTTAGGATGTAAAAAAGTAAGTGAATTTTCATATATACCATAAGGTGTTTATATAATTAAAATTCTTGTATTTGTGCCAGCTATATTAAGGTTTTTTACAGTTTCTCTTTTTTAAATTATAAGAATTTCAAGCATTTTCAATGCTTTCCTGTAGCATAGTTTGTTATTGATGAATGTCAATTTAAAATCTTAATGAATGTTGAGTGCAATGATTCGCTGTAAGAAAATTATAGCATCTGAAGTACAATTTGTTCCCATGTATGTTTTGTAATACTCATAGAATATGTTCGTTGCAAATTATCTATTATGGTATTTGTCAAACAATTTGTTTCATTATGTATGTGTTAAATTGTAATTAATATTAAATAAATTAAAATTATTAAATACTATTATTAGAGACTAGTGTTTTTTTTATCCATGTATTTGTATTTTAAATGATCTGTTAAAATGAATATTGTAACTTTTTTAGTAATCGACATCATTATCCACTTGTTGACAGTCTTTAGTGTCTCTTATTGTTGGGTAAATTTGCTTTAACCACAACACGTGGCACGGATTGGTGATTGAAGTATCAGATGTTCCATTAGTTTAACGCTACTTCCGTAATGACTATTTTAATACTTTTCCTTTCCTGTGGGTCATACTAGGATATAAATATATCAATCAGGTACTTAACTATTGTTGACTATTCTTGTCCTATATACGAAATTGTTTATTTGAGATCTGCCGAATATCATAAGTTTTTAAGCAATTTCTTTTAGTAAACTCTAAAGTCACATAAACAGATGGGACGAAATATTTTATTTTATGTACTGACAAAAATCATTCATAAGTTAGTATAATAGCGTATATATATTATCATAATCTTTAGAAGATTTCTGGATTTAGGCGGTACATTAGCTAAAACGTGTAAACTGTAGCTTTTAGTGATAAATACTATTAATTCTATTTGCTTTAGTACGTTTCTCCGTGTAATTCTCGTTTTTTTTTACTAAAATGAAATGGAACCCCTTTTCATTTTTGTTACGATAATTCGCATTTTAGTGTTACAAAGATCTTGTAAGCCGGCCATTAGAGGTAAACTGTAAAAGAAATGTTACCAGAAGGTTACACTTACATTTTACGTACATGTTACGTTGTCTAGCACGAAGTAACTTTTTATCAAACCATGTAAGGTAATTTTATCAGAACATCCATATGACTATTGTAACATAACAATATGTAAATCGTTATCAAAACTAGTTTGCCTTAATTTCAGTCACCTGCCTGTTTTTTTTCCTCAGTATTATTGATAAATGACTGATTGCAATTGGATTGGATGGATGGACGTAACTCTTAGTTTAAAATGTAACTTTTATGACATGTCAATGGTCCAGCCAAGCAACGCTGACAGCACTGTTAAAAACACACTGCGTAATAATAAATCGATACATAATTTAAAATTAAAAATTTTGTACAGCCGACTTCAATATAAGTTATTAACAATAACTCAAAAAATATTGTTCTGATTTTGATGAAATTCATATGGGACCACACGAGAAGTACCAGCTTCCAAATAGAAAAAGAATCATCGAAATCGGTTCACCCAGTAAAAAGTTATGAGGTAACACACATAAAAAAATATACAGTCGAATTGAGTACCGTCTCCTTTTTGGAAGTCGGCAGAAAAGACGGTTTCAGTAAATTCAATCACTTTATCTTGTCCCGTGGGTGCCGTAGAGAGTAGACTACAAGTAATATCTAGATTGGTTTTATTGCTTCCGATAGATGTACTAGGAGTAGGGCTCAATTTCTGCCTAGGAGTTAGTCTGTGTAGATACCAGCCTCTGTTCTGCCGTCAAGTAGCAGTGATGGCCCTGCTATGCGGTCTGTAGGGTATATAATGTCCTCCAGACCGAGTTTTGATCACGATAGCCTGCCTTCACGGAGACTAGCCATCAGCGCAGGTCAGGATGTGAGAATTTCTTGACGGAATAACTCAATAACTGATAACTCAATAACTAACAATAAAAAACTCAATAACTAATGGGTATATAGAGGCAGTATGATAAAAGACCGTGTGGCATTCCATTTCAGTCCATAGAAGTGACAAAACACCTATATATCCTTCTTTGTTTGAAGTTGACTGCAGGTGTCCTTCGACTGCAGTGGCCGTCCGCTGGTCTGTAAGTTCAGTTTATCTCTTAATTTTAATTTACGGAGAGTAATGTTAATGTTGCTAGACGGTAGTACGATCTCCAACTTGCTCGTCAAGCGTAGCCAGCATGACAAATCCTGAGCACGAAGCAAAGGATAGATGTTGTTGACTATGGTAGTCCATAGTCAACAACATCTATCCTCATTAACAATCGAAATTCAGTTTCATTATCAATAAGATCGAATAATAAGATCGAATGCCTCGTTTGCAGTAAAAAGGACTCTCCAGCTCTCATCACTCTCCATACGAAACTCAGTAGCATTATGTTGCTATTTCACGCTGCTAACTTCTGTGTGAGCGTGATTTTTCCTGTAATTCTTCTTTATGCTGTAGGATTCAGCGGGGCTCTACCAGGTAACAACCAATGACAGTAGGTACTCGTATAAAAATCAAATATTATGTAGTAATTATTTTTATTAAATTAAGAGTAACAAAAGAGCACGTCATAGTTTATCTCGTGGTATGTGTATAGTCGCCTTTATCTATGCTAGATCAATAACCAAAATGCAGATGCATTCCTGAGATGCAGGCCTGAGATAATTCTACTAATCGTACGAAATAAGTTAGTATTATGTTGCTATTTTACGCTGGTATTATGTGAGAATGTGTTCGTTCTCCAGTAGTGTTGACCCGATCATGCTGCTGTTATAGTAAAGCTGCAGCATGGCATGCAGCATAACACGCAAAGTTTGTAGTAGTAAATCGCAATACATTAGTATAACAAAAATATATTCATTCTTGCTTTAAAGACACCTAGATTACAATCAGTTGGAAAGACAGGTGCCGAAATATTATTTCTCTTTCATGATGTACGCATTACAAAAGATGATTACCTTGTTCACCAGCCTTTTAAAAGTAACTGCTGAACAGCTGAACAGACCCTTTCTCGTTGTAGGAAGGCTAAAGATTGGCTAAATAGGGATCACAGGACTTTACCACGTGCACCTTTGATACTGCTTAACGTCGCTGGTCTTCGTATTATTCTTGTATGTCTATCAGAAGCCATGAGGTCTTTCTGATATTCCCCATAGCCTTTTAAGTCAATTATGGGACGAAATGGGTTAATAGATTCTCTTACGTCTTTACCACATGGCAAAAATATATATAATAATTCTGAGTTAGATGTATGGACCCGAATATGTCTACTGTAAGCATTAAGGCGAGGATTTCCTACGTTTTTGGCTTTTAGCGCCCCCTTTTCCGTTACATGCATAATTGTCTGGCACGAATTAAGCGTTTACTTTGTTTTAAACATTTTTTATTGTCATGAAGAAATAAAGGGTCTGACTAAATCTAATTCAATAACATGCTTTTCATATATGGTAAAAGTATTATATGGTTATTGCTTATAAAAACGAGAACATGAATTTCAAAGCTTTTTCCAGGCGATTCATCATCATTATCATTACAGATCTTCACAAGTCCACTGCTGAACATAGGCCTCCCCCAAGGAATGCCACAAAGTACGGTCCTGAGCCACCTGCATCTATTGACTTCCTGCATGTCTTACCAGGTCGTCACTTCATCTCGTGGGGGGACGCCCTACATTTCGCCTGCCGGTACGAGGCTGCCACTCGAGAACCTTTTTTCCCCATCGGTTGTCGATTCTTCGAGCTATATAACCGGCCCAGTGCCACTTGAGCATACTAATTTTTGGGTTATGCTATGTCGGTTACTCTGGTTCTACTCCGATCAGGTCCTCTTGTCTATCACGCAGAGAAACGCTGAGCATTGCCCTTTCCATAGCTCGATGAGCGACTTTGAGCTTCCCCATACGGCCAGCAGTGAAGGACCACGTCTTAGATCCATAGGTTATCACTGGCAACACGCACTGGTTGAACAGTATAGTTCTGAGGTTGTGAGTTATGTCTAACGAGAAGATATGTCGTAATCTCCCGAACGCTGCCCAGCCGAGTTGAATCCGTTGATTGACCTCTTGGTCAATCGACGGATATAAATAGTCCGACTAGATAAGTCCAACTTCGAGGACTTACCTAGTCGGACTATTTATCCCAGGTAAACATACTCGTCAACAACTTCGAGCTTAGTGCTCCCAACAACTACCGGCATGGGTGTAACATGGACGTTAAACATGATTTTTGTTTTGTCCATGTTCATCTTAAGACCTATCCGTTGGGAGACACTATTGAGCATAGTGCTTAGGTCCTCCAGCGATTCTGCCATAAGGACTATATCGTCGGCAAATCGAAGGTGAGTGATGTACTCGTTATTGACGTTGATACCGTATCCTTTCCAGTCCAGTAGCTTGAAAACTTTAAAAAATATGCGCATATTTTATTCCGAGCATATGCTACTTCAAGAAGTATCAATTAATAAATGTAAAAATTGTAACCAAAATGCGATATTTTGTCCAACCCGGCCTTAAGTGGTAAAGTTCGTTGCCCTTTCTATTAAAATCTTGAATTAATTTATAAGATGTTGTAATTTATTTGTTATTATTGCCATATTATAGAAACTAGAAACAAGTTCGTAATAAACCATTAATTAGGCTGAGTCATTTAAGTGCATACTTGGCGCGGTTGACTTTGTCTTTGTAATCCCACGAAAGCTGCAAATATAGAAGTAGCGAATTACTATAACTTTATCTTTTTTTTTAACTTATTATAAGCCAGTGCTTGACCACAACCC